TCTGGCGGGGCGGAAGGAAGAGTCTCGGCCCGAGGGAGGCGCTATGGCGACCACCGTCACTACTCAGCGGGGCCCGGTGAGTGCTGCCGGGTGAGGATCAGCCGTAGGGGCCTTTGAAGGTTGTTTCCTGTTAGTTCTTGCGTTGGGCTGATGAGGCCCAGCTTGGACCCTTCTGGGCTTTGGCTTCTGTCCATCTTCCCCCCCGTCCATCTTCCCCTCGGCCCGGCTCCTGCCAGTGGGCCTCGGTGGAAGGGTGACGCACCCTTCTTGTCTCCATCCCTCCCTGCCTTCCGCCGCTTGCGGCCCGCGGCACGGGAAGGACCTCTCTTCTCCTGACTGCCGTGATACGGAGGAGGAGGTGGGGGAAGGAAAGTCTGCCTCTTCGTCTGGTTCGCCTTTCCTAGAGGCTTTGGGAAGGAGGAGAGGAAAGTCCCTCCTGCCTGCATATAGGGCTTGAAGAGGCTATTCTGCCCGCCCTTTGTCTAAGGGCCTTCCAAAGGACCGAACGGCTCAGTGTCTTTAAAGCAGAGTAGAGCTTTGTGTTTTCATGGCTGGGCTGGGTAGATTCAGGTGGCTGGTTCTTGAAATTGCCACCAGAGAGCTGGAACGTGAACCATGCTGAAAGGTGTATTCAGTGGTAATATGTAGGTGTGTGTGTTGGTTGGGGAGGAACTGAGCACTCTTTAAACCAATTTAACCATTTTCTGGTTGTTAGTGTTCATAATTTATTGGAAATGTATCATTGTCAAGTTTTGCCCTGAAATAATCTTGCCACACACTGGGGTGCTTTGCCGTGCGGTGTATACCTGCGATATAACATCAGCTCTCCGTTGATGTGCTGTTCCTGTCTGGAGGGATCTGGTAGTAACTGACAATATGATGTTGCTCTGCAGGTGAAGCTGGTCTTTCTTAATGAATTTAATCTGCTATATTTTACTTTCTAGGAGCAGCTGCTTTTCTGTGTGTCTGTGCAGCTTGATGAAATACCAAGGAGTAAATTACTCAGTTGCAAATCTTGAAAAATTGCATCACTGTCTGCTGTTCTCTCATGACAGTAATGTTATGTGACCATCAGTTTAATTCCTTAAAATGCCTTATGTGTCTGGTCTTCCAGAGTAGATTGCTTTTGCAGTGAATTGTGATGATGATTCTGTTGTTGTAATAAAAGTTTTAAGTGAAGAATTAAGGTAAAAGGAGTGAATTAAGTTTTTTGTTCTCTCTTGATGGTATAATGAAAAGATAACGACTGCTGTTCTAGTTAAATCTGTGGTGAATTAGGTAGTTGCTGTCCCCAAAGGCTTGGTGTTTTACAATTGATGGTGTGGTTGCACCGAAATAGAACTCTGTCAACATGTAACACGCTTTACTCAGAAAAGTTCAAAATGTTATAAATACCGGAAAAATAGTCAGCTTGTTTAAAAGTATCTTCACTTCTAGCTATCCTTTAGTTTATGTTTGGAGAAGGCTGGGGACATTAGAGGAATTCATGTGGGTGTATGAGTAGAAGGAAGTGATAACCAACTAAGAGTTTTGGCTAAAACTGAACAGTAGGCCTGATTGCAGTCCTGATTTGTGAAGAGGTGAAATTAAACAGATATTTCTGTCTCTGAAATCAAGTGTCTTTTTGGGAGAAGTTTTAATTGCATGTGGTACTAAACACCTTGTTGGTATTGAGTGGAGTACTTTCGATATCTGCTTCAGCTTAGTGAAATTCTTTTCCTTGGTTGAGGTAAGATTTTAGTGAGACCCTTTTTGGACATGCCATAATCTTGGAGATGTTTGAATATCATAATTGCCTAGTCTTTCTTAAATGTTTTAGAGGAACTGCATCTCAATGCTTAGAATGTTATCCTTCTGAATGTCTTATTTTAGAATTACCCAGGTACTCCTGTCTAATATCTTGGCAATCTTTTGTTATTTAAAATTTATTTAAGCCTGACAAATAGAAAGGTGTATGATGATTTATCTTGTACCACTTTGACTTTCTGTGTCGGGAGTTTTTTCCTTATATGTTCCTAACATTGCCGTTTATGCTTTTCTTCCTTGTCTTAGCCGCTTCAGAGATTTGAATGTTTTCAAATGAATGAATATATTACGCAGTATTAAGCTGCCGTTCACTGGTGAGGATGCTGATACATTACATGCCAGCCTTTCTTAATTCCTTTGAGAGCTGAAGATAGGACTCTACTTGTTTCTATACACACAACTGCATTACAAATGAGTAGCCACTAAACGGTGCTAAAGGATTAGGAAACATTTTCTCTTCATTGCTGCATATAACAGTTCTGTCTCTTTCTGTTTGAACAGGCTAGAAAATATTGGAGGTTGTTTCATGTAGGTAAGAAATGAAGTATACAGCTGTACTGTTGCCAGTCATCATTTTATACCTGTGCTTTCTAGTTTGTGACAATGCTTATTTAGTGAGTAATTCAAACTTTTGATGGCTGTTTAGTTTTACAGGTGAAACAGAACTGGAATTTGTCCTGTCTGTTACTAGTAAATATTCTGCTAGAATACAGATTTCTCTGACTTTTCAGGATGTTACGGAATTAGCGTGTTTTCACATTTTGTGATCTTTCAGGAACAAAGCAGCTTTTGAGAACTAAACTATGACTGAATAGATAAGGGCTGCTAAATGATACCTTTTCCAAGTGAGAGGTGTTAATGAGCAGTTTGATCAGGCTTCAGGTTAAGTCCGAGAGGCCAAAATCCTGTTTTTGTTACTCCTTAGCTAGCCAAGCACACCCCTGGTTATTCACCATGCTGACAAATATGCTGGGTCTTCCAAAATTAAATTGAGTACCAAGCTAAAGTTATTTAGATTTCTGCTCCTAATTCCCCTAATAATAATCACTACTCTGATGATTGGAAGTCTTCTAATGGGCAGGTTATATTTATGGTTACTTCTCTTTTCTTATTCTAATACTGTCATTTAACTATGTAAGTGGTGGTGTCTCTGATTTTTACCTGAAGTTTTGTTTTGAGAATTCTCAAAACTGTGATCTGTTTTTCTAAACAGAGGTGACAGAGAAGCAGTTTGTTTGTGTTGTCCAGTATTGATATGTGTTATGCTGTCACATGAGCAATTTTGAATACAAAATCTCATCACCAAAACTATTGGGTTGATCATTCTGGGTATGACTGAGTATTTCATTAGATAACTTTGTTTCCTGTTAGAATGTGGATATACGGAGTATTAAAATCCTGATATTTGAAGGCGGAAATTTCATACAGATGCATTGTTGCAGTCAGTTTGGATTTCAGAAGTTGTTTAAAATGTTGAGGGAGTAAGATGTCATTGAGTGTTCCTAAGCCAAATGTGAATTGATTTTGAAGTGCTGTAATCTGATCTCTGGAGCCTGTTCCTTTGACACAAAATGTTGCGGGCAGCATTGGTTATGCTTTGAAGTTCTTGAGTTCCAACATGTAAGAGAAGTACCTTAAGGCACTTTGTGGCTTATTTTCAGTTGCGTTCAATGACATCTTCTTTTCATGAAGACTTAGAGGAAAGATAGATTTGTATTGGTATGTCTAGTAGTAGTGTAGAAAAAATCAGAAGTCTATTTCTGGACTGGATGGCAATTGTCTTCCTTAATGCTAATCCCAAAGTGAATTAATGAGTTTTGTTATATTGAGCTGTTTCTATGGCTTTTCTCATTGTTATTCCTCTGTTCCGTTGAGTGCAGACCGAATCCACTTAGCTCAAGTATGCTATAAATTCTCCTCGAATTTGAGATGACTACAGACACTCATTCTATCTTGGATTTTTAACTCGTGTTTGAATACAATGGTTCCTGCCATACTTAGCAGGAGTTCAAAATATTGTTTTAGTGAAGAAGGGAATCTCTTCTGATTGTAATCAATGGTTCACAGTGCTTTCTTCTTCAGTAAAGCCAAACCCTTTTTTCTTTATTAAGAATTGTGATTTTGTGCTGTGGAATGTATTTTGCAAATATTTAAATATTAATGTCTTGAACAAATTTAAATGTGCCAGGAAAATCTAGAGACAGTAGCTTGTGGCAAAATACGCAGTCAAGCTAAATATAAGTTACATACTTAGGGAAAAGGGAAAATAATACTAAGGTGATGACTGTGGAATCATAAATCCTTTACAGGTAGACATATGAAAGCAACCGAAGTGATAAAGTAGATTATAAACTTCTGGCAACAGGAAAAAATTGTAAGAATGGGAGAAGATGTCTGGTACCCTGCAGTCTGTGGCACTTCTTTGTTTTGGTGACGTTAAATAAAAAACCAACCAACTAACAAACAAAAAACAACAAAACAAACCCACATAAGAAAAACCCCAAAATAATAACAACAACGAAAGCCTCAACAACAAATAGAAAAGATCTGTAAATGTAATAAGCTTAATTGTTGTTATATTCTTTGCTATGTCCATCTCTAAATTGAAGTTCTGAGGTGGAACCTTTGACTACGATTCCACAGGGGTTTGACTGGGGATGTGTCATTCTGTAACGTGAGTTCTGTGGAATCACTTTTTTTTGGTTCATGTTAGAAAGTATGTCAGAAGGCTGTGTAGTCCAACCTCTTTCTAAAAACATGGTCAATTTTTAATTCAGACCAAGTTGCTCAAGACTTTGAGCAAGATCCAGCAAGATCTTAAAAACCTCTTATGTGAGTGCTTCTGCAGTCTGCCTGGGCAGTTTGTTCCTATCTGTGGTTGCTGCAGAGAATTTTTTTTCCTCCTTATGTCACATCAAACAAACCTCCCAGGTTGCAGATTGACAACTGAGGTCTCATTTTTTCTTGCTTCTTGGAAGAGAACCTGGCTCCTCATAGATACTAGAAAGCTGTTAGGAGGTGCGTCCTAAGTTTCTTCTACTCTAAACAAATCCTCAGCCTGTCCTCACAAGTCTTGTGCTCCAGCCCTTTCTATGGGCCGTCTTGGTGGGTCTGCCCCTCCTTGTTTCTTTTTCTTCTCATCAGCCCTCTGCACTAGTGTGGTTTACAATTGTCTTGGCACCATTTAATGTTGCACAAGAAATGGGAGTGAGAAGAAACAGGAGAGTAGAACTGAGACAGCCCAGTCCTAAATCAGCTCAAATAGCTGTAGAACGTCGCACCACCTTCACCTTGAAGTTGAGATGCAGTTTTTGTATCTGCAGCATTTCACTTTGAAGATCCTCCAAACTAGCTCTAAGGTGGTTTTAAGCACATGCAAAGGGCTATTGCTTTGTTACTAGATAATGCATGTTTTTGATACACAATACTGTCAAAGTTTATTAGGAAGGAATTACAAGGCAGGCTTATTTTTGTGAATGCCTGCTCAACGTTTGTCTTCTGAATTGTGGTTCTATTATATCACTGTCGTGTTGCTGTCTTGCTTGAGAAGGGAGTTCTAATAAAAAGCTAAATGGATTTACATTTTTGCTCTTTGTCATTTTGTTAATGACAGAGTGGGGTTAAATTTTACATTCTTCCTTAAGTGTATTTATAATAGAGGGAAGTGCACTTGCTGTGAAGTGGGTGTCGAGTGGGATGGGTGACACAAACTTGTCACTTACTTTCTGCCTGCTTTGAAAACAAAAACTGTGGCTGAACTCTGGTTGTGTAACAATGTATACATTTTTGATTCGGGTTTGGAGCTGGCAGTTTTGTGCCTGCTTTTAATGTGTAGAGGAAGACATAAATCAGCTGTTTTCTCTACAGATAAAAGGTTTGCACACTACTGATTTGTCTGCATCAATATGGATTCAACTGATAATTAGCATAAGAACTTTGAGCAATGCGTTTTCCCAAATAAGCATCTCTCCTAGTTATTTTACTGAATTATACCACCAGGACTTGTGTACCACATCTCAGTCAGAGCTGAACATTTAAGATGAGAGTGTATGCATCTCCCCTTCCCCATTCTTCCTTTTGGAGGGTTTCACATTTTTATCTCTTGAGAATTCAGTTACACCAGCTGGTTTTGGTTTCTGTGTATGTCTGCTCTGCAATTCCAGGATGAGTGTAGCTTTGTGTGAGAACTCAATGAATTAAAATAGGCTTAGATGAAAAAGCTGAATTTTTTATTTTTTTTTTTTTCAAAGAAAACTTTGTTCTCCCTTAGAGCAGCTTTCTTTTTCTGATCCCTTTTGGACTTCATTACCGATACTAGTTTATATATTTTATTTTGAAGCAGTATTTGGGTGACTTAAAATAAAAGTGAAAGATACTATCGGACTTCTCACTTGCTGTGAATTAATTAAGCTTTCCAATGTCCGTGTTGAGATGATTGAGGCAAAATATTCTATGTGCTTTCTGAAAAGTTGACAGAGGGCGGTCGATCATATGGGAATATAATTTCAGGGCTGCAGCCACCACTTCTGACTACAGGAAATTTTTATGATGTCTATTCTTAGAGATGCTAATAATACCAGATTTAAAACTTCCTGGAGATCAAGGGTTTAAAGGGACCTGCTGTGTTGTAAATGCCGTTGCCTTGCTAATTCTGCTGACATGTCAAATCTTTCCTAAATGGATGGTATTTTATTTTAAAAGTAGCTCTTTTTTATAACATGTATTCGAATGAGAAGACTGTTACAAAACCTTGTCTAGTTTTCAGCCTAACTTAAATAAGCTTTCTTTTAATATCAGCACTACCTTTTAGCTTAGTCTTCTCCATTGCTGCCCGCATTTCCCCCACGCTTTTTAAAACTTAAGCTACTTAAGATTTAAATTGTAAAATTTTAAGATGGTTGTAAGCAAAACCAATTCCTTACTTCTCCCTCCCTGCCAACAGCCTAGCAGCAGGCATTCGCTAATTCCTCCTTAGCGTTCTTGATAAACTTCCTTTCTGGCATGTAACACCTACTGCTGCCAGGATCCTGAGGCTCTTGCAGCCCTTGCCAAATCACATTTTGTATGACTGCTGCTATCTCCAAGATGCAATCTTGGCATGCGAGTGCTGTCTAGTCTTCAAAAGCTATGTCTTGGAGGCCTGTTAACTTCTTGGTATGTTCTGTAGGCATGCATCTGCCAGGTATACAACTGAGTCATCTTGCCTGGCATAACGACACACGAAATCGCACTGTCTTTTGCCTTGATGCAGTAGACAGTTCTTGTTTTAGTCATGTAGGCAACTCTGTAGAAAACAGAAGTGAGTACAGCTTAATGAGAGATTTTTTATGCCACTTTATCTGCCTTTTAAAAATTGTTATTATAGCATGCTTTTTATTTTAATGTGTTGATGTCTCTGTGTTATTGATAATGTTTACTTAGCACATAAAACCTAGAAACAACCTGAGGTGATGAATTGACAGTAACAGAATTGACAGTAGTAGAAACTTTCCCTTCTTTTACTGTAAAGGTAACAGAAAATACATGGTGACTGCTGGTTCATCTTGGCACGTGTGACAGAGTTTCTCTAAGGCTTTTCTGCTTTTTCGGTTTTTTTTATGTCAAGGTTCTTTCATGTGATAGACCAGATTTTTAATTCTTCCCTTATTGAGTATGGTGGGATTTTGTCCCCACATTATCCCCACGGTTAGTTGTAGGCTGGCCGTGCTTAACACTGGAAAAGCATTAGGGCATCTTAGGATTCTTAGTTATTTTGAAGGATTTGGTTCACAGGAGATACTGTCTTTATGATCTGTCTTGAAGGTGACTGTGAAAGGGAGCCTCTCAAATGAAAGGAGGGTGCTATGTCTTTGTCACAGAAAGGGCTGGATACAGTATAAGTGATGAATAAGTGAAAGAGCTGGGTGCCATCAGATGTCGTATGTGAATGGAATGTAAAACTTGGTAGCTCTGACTTTTGTGTGGACGACTTAAATGTTTACTTGCAGAGCACCCTTGGCTCTGTATGTCCTGCTTTTTTTTCCAGAGTCTTATGCTGGAAATTTGTGTTTTTGAAAATCTGTATGAGGAGATTCTTTCCGTGAGTTGGCTGTTTTGTGATTTAATTGGTTCTTTTTTCATGTTGTCAAAACTAGACTAAGTTTTTGCTGAACGCTTTTGCTAAGCTTTTTGATTTATGTTCTTCTGTCTTTTTAGTTATGAAAGTGGAAGACTTTAAGTTTGAAAATTTTTTTTCTTTTCTTTTTTTAAGGTGTACGTTGGTGAACTTCCTCAAGATTTTCTTCGTATTACCCCAACCCAGCAGCAACAGCAAATCCAGCTGGATGCCCAGGCAGCTCAGCAGCTACAGTATGGAGGACCAATGGGTACAGTCGGCAGACTCAGCATTACTGTAGTACAGGTATAAATTGCACTATCTTTGTACAATTAAGTAATCGTAATGAATTAATACAATGAATCTCTTCTGATTGGTGCCCACAAAGATTTTGTCTGTGGAATGTGTGTTACTAAATTAGTTGTATATAGGGTATGAGTAATTTTAAGGTTTCTGTAGCTTCATGTTTCTGTACATCGGCATTTTTTTCGAGTTTCATGTTTCATAGCTGCATGGTGCAGCAATTTCCTGTAAACCTTGCTATTATAGCACATAATCAAGTAAACTCATGGGGTTTTTTTATAGTGAACAGTTTTCTATGAAAGTTTCTGTTAAGAAACTCTCTCTTCTCGTGGAAACACTTAATACTGGAAGACCTTAGCAGTTTTGAGAATATTGTAGGAAACTGCAGTTGCCTTACGTGTTTTTCCTTAAGTGACTGCACTGTTCTGTCTCCATTTCCTCTAATGTGTTTGCTAGTTTTCCCCAGTGCTTTCTGCAGGTTTTCTTATTAATCACAGGTACATATTCCTAGCTCTTTGTTTTCTGTTTTCCTCTTTTCCCCTGTTATCCTTTATGTTCTCTCTTGGCAATACTGTGTTACTGCGTTCATTATGCATAATATTTCAGGTTTTAAAACTCTTCTGTCTTTAACACAATTCTGTTTGTTTACATTAGCGTACTAGATGGCCTTCATATTAACTTAACACACCTCATCTGTTTACAAATGCTGTTTTCAGATTATTCTCTAAAAATGTACCAAAGTGATACTTAGCCTCAAGTTCAGCACCAAGCCTGGAATAGTACTTTTATGGTTACAGCTTCCATGGGGAGGTGCTTACTGGGGAGTAGACTCATATAGGGCCTCTTGGGAAAAGAGCCACTGGTCCTTCCAGTCTTTCACTGGTCAGCTTGTTCCTTCACAGCCAATATCCTGCCTTTGAAAAGTAGGGTAATGCTTTTTGAAACTTTATTACTTCTAAGGTCTATAGATGGTTCAACTCATTCACTGCATTCAGTTACAGCCGTCTTTCTAGTTCTGAGGAGTTTCCCGGTCTGTGTTTAGGAAGTGTAAGATAGCAGGCTTTTTCTGCAACTTTAAACAGCAGGAAGATGTTACCACTTTTAGAGCATAGTGGTAGAAGCTTTAGTATAACTTTTTTTCCAGAGCTGGGAGTAGATGATTCAGGTTAAACATCAGGCCTATGAGGAAACAAAACAGTTCTCAAATAACATGCCATGTCCCTTCTCTCTAGCAGTTTCTGCCAACTTGTATGCTTCTCCATAGGTTGTTCATCTTTGTTTGCTGGAATAGCTGAAAGTTCTTTTTGCCATGGCATGTTGATCCAATCAGTATAGATGGTAGGTGTGCCTGGAGCAGATAAGGGGACAGAGAGTTCAAGGAGTTTTGCATCTCACTTTGAGTGGCTATGTACAGAAACATCCAGATTCCTGTTTGGATGGGTAAACTGATGGAGTTGATATTGGTCTCTGTCAGGTTCAATCCTTGTTTATTTTTAGGTGTTTGTGCAAACAAGCAGAAATATTTATCTTGATTGAAGGATAAAGCATAATGGCTGTTCTTGATGCCATGACTGTAAGTAACCACTTGTTATAGAATGACGGGATAGTTGAGGTTAGAGGGGTCCTCTAGGGTTTATTTTGTCCAAATCTCTTTCCACTCCTACCCTACCAGGCCAGTCCCTTAATCAGGGGTCAAGGGATTAAGGATGATGTTATATACAAGGAAAACTGAGCGAGCTGGGCAACATTCTCGAGGGGCGGTCTTATCAAGTAGTCCCTACCATCGGGTATTTATGAAGACAGCTTTTTCGAGTGCTATCTAGAGGAAAGACAAGAGGCACAGTGAGCACCACCTGAAATACAGAAAACTCTCTTTAAATATATGAAAAACTTTTTTATTGTGAGACTTTTCATACATCGCAACAGATTGCCCAAAGGGATTGTGAAGCTTCCATCCACAGAGATGCTCAGAACTTGCCTGAGTATTTCACCCTGCTTTGACCAGGAAACTTGGACTGGACGATCTTTAGAGGTCCCATCCAACCTCATCCATTCTGTGAAACCATTATCTTAGTAGCACTTTGCTGAACTTGTTTAAATACGCCTGTGCCCTCTACTGGGCAGCCCAGATCTATGGAGAACCGTACTCCAGATATGATCTCAGCAGTGCAAAGTAGAAGAGATCATCTTCATTGACCTGTGCTTTTCCTAGTGCAGCCCAGGATGCTGTCTGTTGTCTTTGCTGCAATGGAGCATCGCTTGCTTATTTCCAAGTCCTTCTCTGCAAAGCTGCTCTCCAACCAGTTTGCCCACAGCCTGTAGTGGTGCATGTGGTTATTCCTCCTTGGGGCCAGAACATTTTCATTTGTTGTACTTTGAGATTCCTGTCTGTGCACTTCTCCAGCATGTCGAGGTCTCTCCGAATGGCAGTACTATGGTGTCCCAAGAGATAGTTTTCTCTACCTGTCTGAGAGTTTATGCAAGAATGCTGTGGGAATCTTGGCTGTGTTACTGAGACGTGGCATTCTGGATAAGAGACTTAGCAAGGCAGAGTTAACCTGTGGAACATGAAAAGCCAGTTAAAGTGTTTTGTATTTAAATGTGTTGATAAAGTATATGGAGCAGCATGGCTTAATTCTGTTTCTAAGAAACTGCTGGAAGATCAGAAAATGTTTCTGTAAAGGTAATTTGCAGCTTTTTTTTTTCCTTGCAGATACAGAGGAATGGTGCTGCGCTTGTCAAAGCATAGTTGATTGTGTCCTTTTAAATTACTAGGCAGATGATTTATGTGTTCTTTTGTCTTTCAGTAAAGTCTAATGGTATGCTAGTGAATCTCAGAATTTCGGAGTCTAGAGAGTGCACAATTTGGGTGCCAACTTTCCTCCTTTAATTGTTAAGCCCACATTTACAAGGAACAGTTTGAGACGTTTCTCACCAGCCCCGATGTATGAATTAATGAACTAGCATGTGCCCTGAAGGAGAAAAGGGCTTTCCAGGCCAGAGCTGCAGCCGTTGTGACTAAATCTTATTCTGGTCTCAACACTTCCAGTTCTTTAAATGCCCTCTGGGTGGGAGACATCCTATGCACAGTGTTTTGTCACTTGCCTTACTTTAGAAAAAACTATAGGTTGAGATGGAGAAAGAGCATGTCCATAAAGTCTGTTTTCTACTTTAGCTATGCAGCAGTACTCAGTGTTGTCTTCAGGACTGTCATCAAAATGTTTTGTTCTATTCCTCTGATGTTACAGCAAAAATATGTTGGATATCTTCTGGTGCTATACAGCATCTCTTTTTATAGTAATGTAGACGTTCAGTTGCCCACTGACTTAAATAATATCAAGTGCACACACTGGATTAAGTAAGTTTTGTAATCACTTTGAGAAGTGTGATCTACTGGACTTGACTTGAGTTGAACTGCTTTTTCAGTTTGTCCTTTTTGTATTGTGTGATATTCTTGAAGCTACTGTATTTCTCTATTTCATCCTTTAAAAAGTACTTCAGTGAAAGACGACAGGCTACCTATCACATTAAATGTATGATTGTATGTTGGAGAGCAGATACCTAGGCAAAAATTGAACTTCTGTTCAATTGAACTACTGTTTCCTTGTGATCATGTATCTTTTGGTTTGGTATGAAGTAACTTATTTTAGCTGTGGTGAAGAGGTCTGTTTTCTGTAATAGATTAAAAAGTGGGTCCCTTTTCAAGATCTCCCACACAATTAATGGCTGTTCTGTGTTTTAATCTGAACGCTGGTTTTCTTTTTTTTTTCCTTCCTGTCTACCTCATAACTGAATCTAGTCCTTTATTCAGCATCTGATTCCTTGTGAACTAATGGTGATTAATTTCTCAAGTTAATGTAAATATTATACGCTTAGAGGCTTTCTTTTCTTTCCAGGCAAAATTAGCAAAGAACTATGGAATGACCCGCATGGATCCATATTGTCGAATACGGCTGGGGTATGCTGTGTATGAAACTCCAACAGCACATAATGGAGCCAAGAACCCCCGCTGGAACAAAGTTATTCAGTGCACTGTTCCCCCAGGAGTGGACTCGTTTTATCTAGAGATATTTGATGAGGTCAGAACTACTATATAATTTTTTTACTTGCTCCCATCTGTGTGGACTGAGGTTTGGGTGGAATCTTGCGAAAAAGGGTTGAGTTACCAAAGGCTGTTTCTTAGCTGTATTCTCTGGGAGATGATGAAAATTTTTCAGAGTCCCAAGAGCAATGATGCATAAGGCTGCACTCTTCCCAGGGATGTTAGAGCTGTTACTTTTTCTTTGGTGGCTGATAAAGGGGCATTAGCAGAGTTCCCTGCAAAGGGAGGGAAGCAAAAATGTCCCAGTTGTGTTTAAGCTTCTCTTCGCTGTCAAAATGTCCTGCAACCTTACATTCTCTACTGTCCCTACTAAAAAGAGCTTGTTTACATAATGCTGTTTTACTCAAATTTTTTTCAGTGTTATTCTAACCTGGGAGGAGCTTGGAAGCTGTCCCCAGCTTAGAAATCCTGAGAATAAAACTGTCAAATATAGACTGTGTGTGTAGTCCCTAGGACTTATTAGCAGAAACATAATCTATACTTGACTGAGCGTCATTACAAGTGCTATGTCGGCACTTGTCTGGGTTTTACTTAAGTAAGAGTGGTAATAAATATGTAATCTCTGAACCATTTCATTTTCTTAGAGATTGAGTGGGTTTGATTACCTACCAGAGCAGACTGACAAACTGACAAAAGCTTTTCTAGAAGACTACTCTCTTGAATTTTAGTATGCTGTTCTGCTAGATGTTGTTAGATATGTTGGCAGCAGGGAATATGTGCCTGCATCTCAGCTGTTCCAGTTCAAGATACTGAGTTTTGACTTCGCACAACCATACCTTCTTGAACAACTTAAACTAAGAGGTTACAACTGAGGTCTGCGGTTTGCCTTTTCTTACTGCCTCTCTTTACGTAGTAAAACTTGTCACTGCACCAGCTGTGTGGTCATTACACAAGTGAGGCTTTTCAATGCTATTCTGTGGGCTTAGTTGATTGGTTGAAGTGTCTGTTTCATTGCTGCAGCTGGGGTGGCAGATCAGTACTTGTGTCTGCTCTTGAATTACTGGAGTTCACAGCCTATCGTAGTAGTGTAAACAGAAGCTGTTCACATTAATTTACTGGCTGCTGATACGATGGCACTAGATTCAGGTAGACTTTGCTCATATTGGTATGTTGTATTTCTAGAAGTGTTCTGCTTCAGGATTTTAGTTTCTTTTTATTAAATATCTGCAATCAATCTACAGTCCCATTTAAAGCACCATTTATCATTCATTCTTGTTGGAAGGGAGATGGCTAAAATATTTACTGATGCTTTAGTAATTTCCAAAGGAATAACTTAAAAATAAAATTAGCAAAATGAAATAACATAAAACTGGAGGAAGTGTTAGTCAAGAATAATTTGAAGATTTTTTTTTTATTCCACAACAATTAACTGTATAATATTTTTTAAAATTATATTCCAGCGGGCCTTTTCAATGGATGACCGCATTGCTTGGACACACATTACAATTCCTGAGTCTCTGAAACAAGGAAATGTGGAGGATGAATGGTATAGCCTGAGTGGAAGGCAGGGTGATGACAAGGAAGGAATGATTAATCTGGTTATGTCGTACACGGTAAGCCAAGTTTGGGCTGGGGGGAAGGAGCAGAGCTTCTTGGGTAGTGAGAGGGAGATAATTTAGATTGAAATAGTCATTCCATTGTACTGTACTCTATGTGTGTGTGTGTGTGTGTGTGTGTTAGCATTTACAGTAGTTACACTTAACTTTAGGATTAGCAGTCAGAAGTATTTGAGGCAGTAAATACCTTTTGGTGAGGTGGTAAATGAGTATTCATTTATGTGGCTTTGCAATTACAAAAATTCAGCTTATTTCTGTGCTAATAGAAGTATAAAAAAGAAATTCTCAGTCAAAGAGTCCATTGTCATAATAGTTTTTTAAAAAAAAGGTCATGGACTCTAACAATAACCTGGTTTTCCCCTTAGGTCTTTAGAACGTCTTGTCAATTTACCAGTAAAAATAATAGGAACTCTTCTTGGTTCTGTCTTGGATAGTTTGAATGGTCTTTCTGCTGACTTTGCTTTTTAGTTCCTTTCTTGCTGATTTCATGCTCCTGGCTCTGAGCTGCTGACTTACGCTGGTCCATTTAGCAGCTCATGGACTATCCTCTCATCTGGCACCTTTGTGCTTTTATCTGTTGGGTAGCCTGTGCAGCCCTGAATGCTTCCTGCTCTACTTGTACATATCAAAAGTTCCAAGTTGCTTTTGAGTGCACAACTGGGAACAGATGTTCCCTGCTGTTTGAAATTCACATCTGAACAGTTGTTCCATTATCTCTAGGAGAAATGAGCTTATAAGTAACCTTTAAAACTGTCTCCCCATGAATGTACTGTAATATAGTCTGACCTTTTAATACTTTCCAGGATCAAACTGAACAGGAATTGTGGTAGTAAAAGGGAATGGTGTTAAACTGATATTTGGTTTAAAGTACTGATTTACCTCAAAAATAATTCATTTGACCTTAAATTTACTTCTAAGAACAGTATACAGCTTTAATAAAATTTGTTTGCTCTAAGTTTTCATTTACATTTTTAATTTTCCTAAGTTTTCATTTTTGTTGTATTCATTTCTCAAGAATAAAACGTGAAAGCTGATTAAACCCATATTTTGAAATAGTTTGCTTCAATAACAAAATTTCAGTGGTGAATTTTAGCAAACTGTTGCAAAAGCCTAGTTGGACATGCTTTGTTCATATTGATTTCCAAGCAAATTAACTGTCTTTTAAAGGGATGGTAGTTAGTTTGCCAGAGATTTTGCTTAATATAGTTGTACTAGTATAGTCATACTGTAATATTGAGCATGGAATGGGGATTTGCAATGTGATTCTTTTTTTTAGTTGTTTTGATTGTTGGTTTAGGTTTTTCTGTTTCTTGAGTAGTTCTAATCTGTCCTAATCTGTGCTTTTTGTCAAGTCTTTGCCAGCTGCCATGATGATGCAGCCCCAGCCAGTGGTCCTGATGCCCACTGTGTATCAGCAAGGAGTTGGATATGTGCCTATAGCAGGTATGTTTTCTCCTTGAAGTAAGTCTCTTAAAACTTCCACGTGAAGGGTTTTGCAGAAGTAACTACCAAACTACTTCTGTTTTTTGGAATGTAAAGAGATCTATAAATTATTTTGTCTGTGACTGCTTTCCCCATTATAACACGTTTGGCAGGAGGAGAGTGAGTGAATTAAGTGTAGGTCTGCTTTCAGCCTTTTACCCTGTTTAAGGGAGATGTATGAGTTTGATTAATTTAATTAAAATTATTATCAACATGGAACAAGGAGCCTGAAGGCCTCTCCTTTTATGTATTTATTGTAGACTTAGGTCACTGAATAACGAAGTATCTAGCAGGTTGCACTCTAATATTATGTAAACAGTAACAATCCTTGTATCAAACTGTTCAGACATCAGAAAGTGCACCAAGCGACTTCTGCTACCAGAACTGCAGCTTAAATAGCCCATAAAGGCATTGACTCTCTTCTGTGATCTTTGAAGATGCTCTGTTGGAAATCTGCTATGCAGCATGTGAAGTGTGTAGCATGGTGAATGAAAAACATGAGGGAGCTCTGAAATAGTTGTGTAAAGAGATCGAGAAGAGCTAAAGCAGGTATTGTCAGTTCTTAGTCTTTGCATGGTAATTTCTGGACTTGTATAGGAAGAAGTGTTATCACACAAAGAATCACACACAGAATCGCTCGGTTGGAAA